ACTTGTCAGAAAGTTCTAGAAGGAGTCCTGCATTTTACAGAAAGCTGGAGCTTTCAATCTTTTTCAACACTCAGATGCTGCGGCTCCCAGTTCACTGGCAGCTCATTTTAGGCTGCTTTCCTTAATCTGTTTCCTCTTTCCTTTTGTGACCAGGGTCCCCACTTGCCACTCGAAGACTGTGGGAGTGGAAAAGCACTCATTAGACAGGGAACATTCTTGGGACCGTCAGATGCCATAATGGTTATGTTGCTGGACTCCATGTAGTTGATCATAGTTTAAGTCCCAGACCTGGTGGCTTAAACTCATGCCAGGTGCATGTGCGTGCATGCCCAAAATCCTGAGAGGAGAATAGAGGAGAAGGGATTGTGGCATGATCATCCTCCTGGGTGTGTGTGTGTGTGTGTGTGTGTGAGACGGGTGATGTCTCACTTTCTGTTTCTCTGTCTCTCCAGCAAGCCCGCAAGACCTAAAGCAAAACTCTCTAAAAAAACAAACAGAAACAGGCAAAGTTCTTAGGGAAAGCATTTTAACTTGAGATATGTAGAAACTCCCTGGCTTTCAGGGCTAAATAATTCAGTAGTTGGAAAGAGGAGTGAGAGAGCATCCAGGCATCCAGGACCGAGTGCGGGTGAGCAGCGGTAGGGCTGCCTGAGGGTCGTTATCCATGCTGGTGGAGGGGAAACCACTGGGAGTTGTAAGAGGCATAGCATGCTGGGTGGGAAATCTGGTCAACGGTCCAGCTTCCATGATGGGGATCCTCGCAGGGTGAGGTTGGGGGTGAAGACCTCCAAGGCAGTTACAGTTGTATATGTGTATATATACATATATATATACACACACACATATATACCCTGAATATACATCTGTAGAATAAGTTTCCATATCTGAATTATATCATATTTAGATAAACTTTTTTAAATAAATTCAAACTTAAGTTTATAAAATTTAATCTTAATGAAAAAAACAAGGTACTCTTGTGAGTGCTGTGGACATGATTAGTTAAGCAAAATTGCTTTGTGCACGTGGGCACCACACATAAGGTTGACAGCCCAACAGGACTGCTTTTGCCATGTTGATCTTCGTGGGCAGAGGAATGTGACTAATTCAAGACAGAGTTATAAACTTTTCTCTACTGCCAGAGAATCCCTGCTAACAGGAGGCCCTGACTGGATCACGACCACTCACATGGCAACTCATCACTTACTTTCTGGATCTTTTGCTTATTTTCTTGAACTTTTAATGACCTTATATTGCCCTCCAAAGAACTGACAATGTCTTATGATTTTCAGTCTCCTACAATTGCTAAACAGGTCCTCATATTATTTGATGTTTTTCCTTTGCTGTGAAAGAGCAATGCTCAGTGTTCTTTTAACACATTTTTTTCCCTTTTTGCAATCTGAATTGTAAAAGTAAATACGGCGTGTATGCCATCTGTTTAAAAGCCCTTAGCTTTTCCAAATGTATGCAGTACCTAAACTATAAATGGGCCTTTTCCAAAAGTTATTTTGTATATTGGCTTTTGGAACTCTGTAAAAGTAATATACATATTGGTTATATTTCCAAATTAAAGTACACAAGAATTCTTCAGCCCATCATAAATGTAAAATGACTCCCTAAGCTGCCATAAAATCCCATGTTCTTATGTCACATAGTTGCCATGGGAGGTGCAGACACTCAGATGTATGTGCCCCCACCCCAAGACTGCCCACCCTCCCTGCTGAGATGGGCCAGGAGCCCTCTATTCACTTCCCTGGGTTTCCAGCTGTGGTTCTGGACCTAGGCGTCACCTAATAGGATGTGAGACTAGGGGAGAGTTGAATTCTTGCCCTAAAGCAACCAGCTGGCTTAATGGAATGAGAAGAGACATAGGTGGCAAGGGGAGATGTGAAGGCCCTATGGGAACTTCCGAGCATGGTAAGGACTGCTTGCAAAATGTCATCTATTTCTTTCTGTTCCCTTTTATTCCTCCTTTGTTGCTGCCGAAGGGAAGGAAAGGCAGAGAACTAATCAACAGTGGGGTTCTCACAGGGGCAATAAGGTAGAGTGGCCACCACCCCCCACTTTGGCTTTGGTATCTGTGATAGAGGTTGATGAGACTCGAAGGCGGAACTGTGGCTAGCTAGTGGCCCAGTGGAGGGAGAGGATGGTTCTGCAAACCTTCCTACCTCCTCTGACTGCCCTTCCCCACAACACTGTGACATGATGGGGTGGGAGGGAGAAATGCATTTCAAGGATTGGATTGGGAATTAGAAACCCTCAACGTTTGCATGTTGGAAGCAGCAAGGAGGAATCAAAGTGGCGAGGAAGGAAAAATATTAGCAGAGGAGGAAATAACGTGTAAAGGACACATCTACTTAAGTAGCACTTGCCTGTGAAGTAGAAGACAAACAAGTCCATGATCCCATCATAGAAATGCCATTTTATTTTCTAAGAACATACATACTTACCAGTTAAATGCTAAAACCCAGATGTGGAATTTTCTGAGGGTAACTGCACTTTGTAGGTGTGAACTCAATCATCTATTGAAGAGTCCTCTCCGAATCCTCAGTTCCTGTTCATAGGGGGAGCTGGAGGAGAGATTGACTGCCCACGTGCTGCTCCTCTGGAGTTCAATTCCAGCAGTTGTTTACTCTCTTTTTTCCTTCTACTTTTGCTATGGGGCGTATGCGCTTGCAGGAGAGAGAGAGAACGAGAGAGACAGAGAGAAAGTAAGAAAGCAGCAGGGGATGGGGGAGAAGACGGGCGCTGGCCACACCACAGTCCCTTCTCCTGCATTGGCCTCTCGGGTTTTTGGGTACGCTCACACATGTGGGACTGGAACTGCACTGTGGGACATGCAGTTACCCCTCTCATTATTTCCGTCCCTGCAAGGCACCTTGAGGGTGGGGACTGGTCTTCAGACAGACCCTCATGGAGGAGCGAAAGCCATGGTTGCAACTGAGGTACAGAGTCCAAGGAGGCAGCCCCAAGAAGACCCAAATGGGTCTTCTCCGAACCATCACACATTGCTGCTAAGGCAAAGAGGCTGTTTCTAGAAAGGCAAAGGGCGGACTCCAGTTAGAATCGTCATCAGTTGCTGCTGGCAGGTGGTGTGGCGGTTAGACTCTGGACTCCCACATAGCTGACTGCTGCTCGAGTCCCAGACCTGGTGGCTCCTATTCTCTCTCCCTCTCTCTCTGTACGTGTATATGTCTCTCCCTGGTCAAACTGAAGAACAATAATACTGATAAATAAAATGAAATACTTATTTACAAAATGTCATCAATCACATCAGGAATCTGTGATTGGTGAACTCTGTCAGCTCCTACCAAAATAAAGAAAGGACTGCCATTGAATATGTATTTTATTTTTCACTCTCTTCCACAAATATGGGTGGAGGGTCTTCAAAATGTTCACGGAAAATGCACGTTAGGAAAAAACAATGCATGTATTCCCTTCCCTGGGGCCACCAAAATAAACTTGTACTTTAACTCTATTTTTTTAAAAATCTCCTCATATAGTTTTAAATATGCTCTTGGAGCAAGAAAACTAATATTGGATTAAAGCTCTTGAGTGAAAACATTTTTAAGTAAAGATTTGACAGATTCATTCCTGGATCCCTAATATTATTCCTTTTACTCAATTCTCTCAGAAGCAAAATCACATATTTCATTAGTAGGGTGAAAAAGAAAACCCAATAAGATACTTCACAATATTAAAGATGGGTTATTTAAGGCAAGATGTAGGAAATTAATTCAGTTCCTAACTAAAATTCAGCTTTAACAATAAACATTGCAATTTTATTCTAGTTTCCTTCCTGTACATTGTATTATATAGGACAATATTTCACCTTCACAAGGAAACAACTTTAGGCCAGAAAGTAAAATATTACTTCTTTATAGACTTCCTTTTCCTTAACCTTAGTGGCCTACTCAAGAACAATTGGAAAGAGAAACCTAAAACATGCAGCTACAGTCATTTGTTTTGTTCTAAGCCAATTTTTTTTTTCCTTTTTTGAAGGTCCAGTACTGAAAGACCCCTGCTGAGCTAAGGTCAGGCCAACAGTGCAGCTACAAAACTGCAGGCAGGCAGAGTCCACTCCGAGAGGCAAATGGACAGGCTTAACTCATGTCCCCTGCCCTGCAAAAAAACTAGGCAGGTATTAGTGGGATGGACTTTGGGATAGGATGGGGACCGGGTGTGATGAAGTCTTCTCTGGCTAGAGAGGAAATTTGGTATTAAGAGGGCCTCGCTGAATCCCCACAATAACCAAACAACTGGTGTTGTCCAGGGCACCGGGTGGAAAGTGGGAGGCAGGAAGTAGAGAGGCTCAGGCTCCTTCCCCTGAGTCGGTTCAGGAATTTAATTTCAGCAAATGTTTATTGGGGCACGGTGTTAAGCACAGGGATATCAAGCAGAATAAAAAGTGATCCTGTCTTTGAAGGGCTCCCAGATCAGTAAAATGGCCCGATCATGCTCCGTGGGCTTTGGTAACTTTTTCCCTGGTCGCTGTCAAGGGAGAGCGGCATCGAAACCCGTCCACACTGCTCCACGGATTTCAGAACAGGGAAAACAAGCCCCAGGACGGGGGTGGAGGAGACGGCTGGAGGGAGTGGTGCCAGCCCTGGGAGCTGCCAGCCGCTGGGCCGTGGAGGGGCTGCCTGCCGGCTAGGGGCAGCCCAGACCGCCCCCCCCATTAGCACCCCACG